CAATCTCCAAGAGAATATGTAAAATGGTTTCCTCCACATGGGAGACAAAACGAAAAGTATCAATAAGATTGATTACATCTATCTCATTTTGGGTATTATTTTCCGATTAGTTTATAGATCTGGAGTTTATTACGTTTAACTAAAATTTATCCTTTATTTTTTTATTAATTTAATATTATTATTTTAATATTAAAACGCAATATATCTCGACACTTAAAATTTGTTTCATTTTCCCTCGTGGGTTCTGATTTGATTTGTACCGTAAGTATGATGGTACTATTGATTTGAATTGTTTGATGTGAGTTGTAAGTTGTAACTAAAACGGTATTTACTACGTGTCCAAAGAGTAGAAAACTCAGAGAATACTTGTCACTTGTCAGCACTGATTTATACCAAATCAACGTGCATTATCATACTTATAGCCTGAATATCCAAACACACTCATTTTTCTTTAAGCCTTAGCATACTTGGCCAAATATGTTACTCCCTCCGTTTCAAATTAGACGAGGTACATTTCTTTTTAATTTGTTCCAAAATAAATAATATATTTTTAAATTTAAAAATAATTTAACTTTAAACTCTTCAAATTACCAATTTTACATTTAATGAAAAGCTTTTATTACCACACAAATATCATGGCTCCACAAAATTTTTATCTCTCAAACTTTTAAGAACACAAGTTTCAAAAGTCTTCTTCCTTTTCTTAAACTTTGTATCGAGTCAAACTACCCCATCTAAATTGAAACGAATGGAGTATTATTTAGCAACAATATATTCCTACCTTATTTTTACCATTTTTTTTAATAATAAGATTAAATTACTAAGTTCCTGTTTGGATATATCTTTTGGCTACTTTTTAAAATAAAAGTTTTGGAAACATTGTTTGTTTATGGAATTTGATTAATTTTTGAAAAAATATTGGAAAAAAATATCAAGTTCCAAAAGCTGGTTTGTGAAAATAAAAATATAATCACAAAAGGTTATTAAATATATTACTGTTTACGTAAATCAATCTATTTCAAATAATTCAAATGCTCAAATTCACCGTTTAAATTATCTGTATTACATTGTACTTCAAGCCATCGTCATTTTTTAGAAGGAGGCAATAGCATATTACTCGACATCCCAATTTTTGGGTGTTTACTTATTTTGCAACAAGAAAAAATAACTTCTTTTTTTATCAACAAGAAATTACATACTTTTACTTTGTTATTGTTCAAAGTCGGTAATATCATTTTTTTTTCTTTAAGTTTCACGATATTGTTACTTTATCACACGAGCAATTTACCATCCGATGAAACTTACTATTTCAATACCATTCGTGGATGGAAGGCTACCTAGTGGCTAGTGCCAGCGAAATGCAAGAACTATTCTGCTTTTATTTATGGCTGAATACATAAAATGACACTTAAATTTGTTAATTTTCATTTAGATATTTTAAGTAAGATTTATTTCGATTGAATATTTGTAGTGGACCAAAGTATACCAATCAGACACATTTTGTTGGCATGATTGATAGTGTGAGTTGCACATATAAAATGCTCGTGTTAATTATCCCCTAATGTTATATGATATTTTCGATGTATAAATGTATGTTCATACACATTTTTATCTCTTAATTACTTTATTTTACTTAGAAAACACTATTAGTTGTGACTTATTTTTTGGCAACACACAGTAATGAACATCAAGCCAAAGAACATTCTATACGTTGTAACATCAACTATGTCAGCGAAATATATCTTGAATTGGCATCAAAACAAGGTTTATTTGAACTGTTTAAATAAAAAATCGTGACAACTTTAAGTGTCTTCATATATATTTTTTATTGAGATTTTTACATAATGTTGTATTCTGGGCCGGGCCTAAGTGGGCCAAACGGGCCGGCTTAGCGGGCCTGGACTCTGGCGGTCCCGGGCCTCACGGTCTCGGGCTTCGTGGGCTCAACGGGTGGAACCAGCCCGTGACGGGCCTAAGCCCATATGGTCCTGGGCTAAACGGGCCGGGCTCGTGGGCTTAGCGGGCCTAACGGGCTTTTTTATTTCCGGGTTTTTTTTAATTTTTTTTTTGTTTAAGGCAATTTCTTGTAAACCATATCATGGCTATATAAATAATATATATGTAATATATATGTAGAAATCTAATTATTAAAGTGTTTGACGAAAAAGTAAAATAACAAAACAATAGTAAAACTAAATTGTCATGCATAATAAATTAATAAGAAAGTACAACATGAAGCATAATTACGTCTAATAATTTTAAAATAACACAAATTGTTGAAATATCTTAAAGACGAATTTGCGGATAAATACCATCAAAACAATACGTTATATGCCTCCTTAAAATGCTTGTGGTACACCCTGAACGAAATTTAAGACTCTTCCACAGTTCTTGCATTTTAATATTTGGCCTTCTTCATTTTCTTCAAGCACTTCATAGTAGTGCAAAATAAATAATCGCACTCTTTCCGAACGAGACATGATGTAACTTGAAAATTAAGATTGAGACTTGAAGTCTTGAAAATTGGAGATTGAGAGATTGAGAGATTGAGAGAAATTTAGATTGAGAAATGAGTATTGAGTATTGAAATGAAGAAGAGGGAGGGGGTATTTATAGTGTTAGAGAAGGTTAGTTTTGTAAATTGAAAAAAAAAGGCTATTTGTGCAATATGGCGGTTGGTGGTCATTGGGGGTGGGGCCCTCATTTTGAATTTTGAAAATTCTTGTTTTGTAGTATATATAGTATACTAGTATAGTATA